CCTTCCGGCAAAATTAGTTCTCATTGTAGTTGGCAGCTGAGTCTATACTCAGCGAGTTTATACCTTTCATACGATAGTTTCCACAACAACCTTGCCTAGATAAGCAGAAAATTTTAATTACTTTTCCACTTTTATTTCCGTAGCTGCGCTACAGCAATTAAGATAGGTATATTTTCTATACTAAAACTGTGAATTCTCGCCTTAGTTTCTTATTTTTAGCGGCCTAAAGTTTATCGAACCTGCTCTTTCGTTTTCGACATATAAATATTTCAATATAAATCATTTAGCCTTAAAGAGACTTTTTCTGTTCTTATTCAAATACTGTCAAGTTAGAGAACAATAGAGCCACGCGCTCGATCGTAAGCTTTGTTCACTACATCGTTGACTACATCGTTGATTACATTTGGGATTACTAAACTGAAGAAGCTAGAGGTCATGTCGCTTGTTAGCCTGACTTAGAATTAAGTCATCGTGGTTTCGAGAGAATCATCTGGTGATCAACAACACAAAGACGCAAGCAGTACCCATTGGTCCCCGTAAGTACAGTTACGACGTGGCCAAACATAGCTCTGTCATTGACACACTGTCATCTATCAAAATACTTGGCGTTGAACTTGATAGCATGCTATCTTTCAAGGATGACATAACTAAACAGCTTCAAAAAGTATACGCTAAAAGTGGCGCACTTAGGAGAATCGGGCGTTTTGTCGCTGGCAATGTTATGTTAAGGCTCTATGAAACTTTCATTCTCCCTCATTTTGAATATTTATGATGCACGATCCTTCGCTACTGCGGAGGATCGAGCATCATACGTATTTAATACCGCAGTTCAAAATATATGAACTTCATATATTTATTGTACCTGATTTTGAATACTGTTGCCCCCTCTTTCTTGGATTGGGAAAAGTGCAAGCGATTCAGCTAGAAGATGCAAACTATTATATTCTTAGATCACTGCTAGCTATCGCAAGTCTACCCTTTATGATGAATTGCTGCGAATCTTGAATATGGAAACGTTAGACCAGAGAGGGAAACAACAATCCCTTATTCTGTTATATAAATGTTTGTATAACGACGGTCTCAAATATATCAGAGATTTTTTAAGTTTTAGGGAAACTACGTACAATCTGAGAGGAACTAGCATTAATTTGTACGCACCTAAATTTAATTTGAATTTTATGGAAAATCTTTCACTTATATGTGTGCGCAGCTGTGGAATGGATTACCTACAAGCGTAAAACTGGCCAATAATATCAACCTTTTTAAGAAGCTACTGAGAGCATTGAAACTTTAGCTCCTTCTCCATTTTATACTTGTATTTAAGTGACTCTCAATTTCATTGCACAAACTTAATTATTAATCTTCATTTTAAATTATTTAAGCTATTGCTTCACCATTTTATACCTGTATTTAAGGGACTTTGAATTTTACTATACAAACTTAAATTTTAATGTTAATTGTTATTTCAATTTCTAATCAATTAGGTCTTGACAGTATGTATTAGGTTTTTTAGATTCTTAATCTTAGAGGCACGTACGTATTTTGAACGAGCTCTATGAGCTCCTTGACGCTACGTGGGTAAATAAAGTATTGATTGATTGATTGATTCATTCATTGAAGTCTACTGTGGAACCAAACGTTGTCTCATCCTTGACGTTCGTATAAGCTCGCTCGAAGTAGATCTCCATGTACTAGGAAATTGTGACGAGTTTCCGTTCTCGCAAGCTGAGTGGTCTCTACCGAGCTATTTTTCCCCGTTTTGTACGTTTCCCGCGATGTCCAGTTTAGCACGCGGAAACCTATCGTCACATTCCAGCATTACCTAAGGTAACAACACAAAGTACAGAAATTATACAAAGTATCGTAATAATAAATACTACATGTACAGTAACTACACAGACCACAGTAACTACACAAACTACAGAACACAAACAGTACACAGTACACAAACCAATACAGTAACTAAACAAGTCTACTATATCTCCCAATGGTTTTTTCAGTGTTATTGGTAGAAATTAATTACAAATTTCAATTAAGCAAGGAGCGGATTAAATGCTTACTTATCTGACTGTCATTATGCCTTAGAGATATCTGGAGAGCAGACTGAGCCCACCTGCAGGCTTACCTCAGCGTATTTAATAAACGTCTCGAACTTTCCATTCGCATGGAAGGTCAAAGGAAGCGTAAACGGACCACTACCTTTGAATTTTCATCCTTCCGTTTCTTACATCATGAAAACGGATACCTGGTTTTTTAATACCTCGAGTTGTTATAATAAGGTTTGGCCAATCACCAGGCTTGCTATTCTACCAATTGTGTCTCTCCGTGGAGAGGAAGGTAACATTGCAGGTTGGTTTCCACCAAGCGAGTAGCGCTGCAACAAGCATGTTCGTATTAGCTCTGGTTCTCGACTGAACAATCTTATTCATGCTAAGGGGCATTTAGAGATTACTGAGTGAATCAGTTCCATTTCCTCATTCAAGTACGTGAAAGGTGTAACAAGGACAAGTGTCACGCAACGCACGGACATGTCCCAGAGTCTGTTTCCATCGTTGCGACTTCTTCTGTATGCATGAAATTGATAAAAAACAATTGTAAAGACCTCAGTTGGCACTTACGCCTTGGCGCGCGCACATTTTCGGGCTTTGTTTCATTTTATTGTTCAATTTCAGGCGCGCGCTCATTGGTCAATTCAAATGATTTAAATTTTAATGACGTATTACTTTTGGTCTCACTGACGAAATACAGTAAAGCTGGGATTCTTGAGTCGCACTGGACTTGTATTGTTCCTTCGGCATTTAAAAAAGTTTTTTTTTTAATCGATCTTACGGAAGTTGAGAGTTGTCAAGAAAAAGGCCAGAGTATTCTCCGTTATGCAATAACTGTTCAGCTCGATTCTAACTTTGAACGTACTTTTCATGAGTATAAAGGAGTGTATCAAGATCTACCTGGAATGGTCTGCTCTTGATAATTTTCGACTTTAAGTAATTACCTTGAGTTGGTCGTATTAAAAAAGGATATTTACCACCAATCATGTGCGTCAGCATTGTAGAATTTATTAGACTTGACTGAAACTATTCTTTTACAAAACATCTCAAAGGGTTAAGGAGAGCTGAATGAAAAGCAATGCAAGTTGCATCACTGACAACATTGCGCCTTTGAATTTTACCCATTAGCCCTTATACCTCAAAGAGTGACTAGCATCTAACTTCTCTTTACAATATCAGCCCTGAATCACACATTGAGGTCAGGAGAATAAAGGAAATGATCACCAACTAAAGAAGTTCTTGATTGTTAAACAAATTCTCCTTGTCAGCACCTTTGAAAATGTTTAAAGAACAGTATGGAGAATATGCATACTATTGTTAAGGTGAAAAGGCTTAAAAGTAAGATTTTGGTCAAAATCTCCATAAATTAACGTCGTTAGTCACACACTCTAGAATAGTGTGATCAGAAATATTTTTTGGAGGCCACATGTTTTTGATCTGAAATATAGCGCTATCATAGATTTCCTCTGGATATATTTGCTTTTAAAATTTTGCGTTGCAGGGTTAATGATTAACCTCATTAAATTGACAGGAATAATATCAAATTACACCACTTTGTGCCCTGGTTGCTTAAGGCTGTAAAATCGATTGAGACAAAGAAAATTAAAATCCATCGCATACTGTGTAAGTGTTAGAGGTATTTGTTGGAAGTATAATCTTTAGGCAATATTGGGGTTTTATCTCTGGGATTTGATCTGAGAGTGCTCATACCCTAGGGATTAAGTGTGGCCCTAAACTATTTGAGATTCTTGAACAAATTTTGAACCCTACAGTCTGTAAAACTTTCTGAAGAGATTGGCTAGATGGCATGTGTCACACCTGCCCGGTCCTCTTGTGGACAGACTCTTAATTTTAAAACGTCCGACCTACAACGACATTTGCTCGTCTTGTAATTTAGAGATAAAGCCTACTACAATTTTTTTTTCTGCTGATATGAGCCCGTGTTGTTCGCTGCTGGGTTTGGGATTAGAATTCTTGTTTCTAGCTACCTTTTAAGTAAATCAGGGCATTACCGTTATGGAACGGAAATAAGAAAATCTGCTAAGAAGCAAGCAACCAAACCTAATATCATTCAATGGATTTTTTTCCCCCATTTTCATTGGCTGGGAGCCCACCACGTGACCTGAAAATAACTGCTTACAAATAATGGTCTGCTCATGCGTACTACCGTCTAACTCCGTTTTTGTTGCAAATAATATTCTGCTCATGCGCAGTAGTAACCACGCTCTTGTGGTCGCTCTTGTTGGAACTGAGAAGGAAACCATTTGATTTCTGGCAGCAGTGTGCGCTTGCCGCTTCCCCCAAAAAATTAAAAAACAAACTCGCTTCCCGCATCCCCCAAATATTGAAAACAAACTCGGTGATCGAATGATAAAACAGTTATTGAACTCGGTTATCGAAAATTGTCGTGATTTGTCAGTGTCTCGCAGATCAATTATTTGTCTCAGCCTTCGGCTTCGGCAAATAATTAATCTTCTCGCCACGGACAAATCACGATATTTTGCTCAACCTCGTCCAATAATTGTAGTATTTATCTTTTTCGTCGACGATGAAATAGGCGGGAGGATAAGGCTCCGACGGCTGGTGTAAATTATGTTCGCTGGGGAGGGAAAGCATCCATGTGAAAATGAGAATTCTCTACAGAGACAGAAGACAAGACTGAATTGCATAAAAATAAAATTAACCCTATGTAACCGGTTTCTGTCAAATTAGGCCAAATGTATGATGAAGACGAACGCCAAACTAACCGATTTCAGACATCCGTCTGAAATTGAATAGGACTCCAACTAATCAATGTGGCTTTCTTATTTGTAGTAGAAATTTCAAACTTTGATCGTAGGTGAGCATTATATTCAGTGTACCGAGTCTTCGGTGTAACCAGTAAGATCGCTGGCAATGGAATAGAATCATTAGCAGTAGCAAAGGCAATTCTCATTTTGTCAATGACTCAACCATAAGCTTTTATTTATGATCTAAGCCCAACCGTTACAGGTAAATCATCAACCAAGTGAAGCTCCGACAATATCATGGTCACCAAAGGTAAACCCTTCTACTGTTCAAGCATTATACTGCTCATGAAATCTACTTGAGTAGCTCCTTGTCAAATCCTGAAGGAGCTGTTTTCTTGTTACTTGGTGCATACAGCGCATGTTAACTCTCGTCCACTGACATATGGGCTACACGGGAGTGAGCCACATTTACCTTGTACTGGGTAAAGTAGCGCACCATCCCTGTTTGCTCTTGTACCGGGAATATACTCTGCCCACTTGTCAACACAGATGTAATCACGCTGCTTGGGGTGATTGTAGAATTCAGTCATCAGGTATCCGTCGTACTCTTCCACCCAACCGGATGGACAATCATTTCGCGCAGGCATCATGAGCATTGTGCTGCGTGATTTGGCAAAACATACAACGCAGGGTGCATCATGGTTATGGAGGTTTCTATAAAATGGGTTGAAATCGCTGACTTCATACTCAGTGCCATACACGTAACCTGAATGCTGCCACCCACTTTTGTACCTGCCATACCGTGGTGTCTTTGGAAGACAAAGGTAATTTACTCCACCTCCTGGGTGTTGGTAATGATCACCACCCGTTATGCCTAAAAGTACAAAATAGAATGTCTATCATTGTATGAGGGTACCATGGATTTTCTTATGTTCCACTTTAGTTGTGTATCCTGCAAAGTTATTTATGCGATAGGACACTTTTCCAGTGTATTATGACGTTAAAAAAATCCACGACACAATACGTGTGAACGTTTTTTCCAAAAAGACCAATCATTTCTGTAAGAGTTCGTATGTGGTAAAAGATCCTCTTGGAAACTGAATTAGTTTTTCATAATTATGATGGCTATATTTACAGTGATGTGACAAAAATAAAAAACCAAGGAAAGCGTATTCTCTCTTTTTTGACGTTAAATCAGTTGTTGTCGCTTCACCATCAATAGTTTCCTTAAGGTATTCATATACCTTTGTAAACTATTTGAACACCGGAGGGACATGTGGTTCTTCCCCAGCGAGTATATTTAACACCAGACTTCCCGAGCTCTCCTTTCTGTCCCCTTAATCCTCTGAATCCAGTCCTTCCAACAGCTCCTGGCTCTCCTTTGGGACCACGAGGGCCTCTTATAGAGATACTGGAGCCGGGCTTTCCCACGTCTCCTGCAATATGACAAATTGGAACGTTTTGGTCGGACTTTAGTAAAGCCAATCGAAAGCGCTGTTTTCTCATCTTTTTTTTTTGTTAAAGGCCATTGGAATGAAGACGGTATGGTTCAAGTCAAATCAGGTAAATAAAGTGAAAGAAGATCTTTTAACCCTCTCAGTGACACTCGTGTATGACGATACTTTTTGATGCCCGACGAGCGCGTTTGGTCATAGAACGAAGCCGTTGCCCAACTGGGAGAGAGATCCAAGGCTGTCCTTCACCAACCCCCCTTCCCCACCCCTTTATCCCACCTTTGTGAGATAGTTTTTGATTTTTTCAGGGAAAATCATGGCAGATAGCCCATTTCCGAATTACTTTTACACTCTTTGGCAAGAGTTCCATATAACCCCATATATTAATTATGCATAGAGTATTGCAAAGAAACCTTTATATTTAGTCTTTATGAAATGAATGCATAATTTATGTATGAGGTTATATAGAACTCTTTCCCCTCTTTTTCAAAGCGAGTCCTGGTGCTCATCTTTTCATATGATAATACGTTTTCATTTACGAGCTACTTAAACACACTTTTGAAAGAATGGTTAAGCACCAGCCCTCGTTTTGAATAAGAGGCTAAAGGTAATTCGGAAATGGCCTAGGAAAAGTTTATATTGTTTAGAGTTATTTGTCATTCAAAAGCTTAACGAAAGACTGATTCTCTCCTTTTTTTAAATCCAGCTGCAGCGACTCTATCTCAAAAAATAAATCGAAATGTATGTCATCCACGGATTTCAGAAAAACACACTCTGCCTTTGAAGAATTGATTACTCACCAAATGAACAGAAACCTCTTTTTGATACCTAAATAACGTATTTACTTTTGTATGGTAATGGTGTGGTACCCCTCAAGGTTTTACCGACTCTAATGAATGTAGATGTAAATGAAGAATGAGATAGTTTCTTCGATTGTAAATATTGCGGCCGAGTTGACAATTTGTTTCCCACCGTGAGTGATTTCATTCCTATCTGGGGACGATTTGAGTTATAATCATAAAGAGAAAGAATGGAAAAAGATCACAGGAGAACGAAATCGCTTTCCCTGTGTCCCATCTGTCCTGATTTCTCCTTTATTATGCCATTCAACGGAGATATTAGATACCTTTAGGTCCAATTTTTCCAGGTACTCCTTGTTTACCACGCTTACCGCGTACACCGGGTGTACCAGGTTTTCCAGGATATCCGGGAGGTCCTCTTAGACCAATCCCCTTTTTATTGCTGTGAAGCCCTAGAACCAAAAAATTTTAGAAACATTTAAAGCAATCTCAGCCTCAATAAAATCAATTTTAATAACCCTAGTTTCCTTTTTACGCAGTCTCCGACATCATGACTCTTAAGTAAGAAAGCACGCTGTAAGTATAGAGTTTTTCTGACAAGCAAAATTATCTTTAAACCCAATTAGCTTTCAGCAAACAGCATTTGTCAATGTAGAGCTCAAAAGTTCACAAACCTAAAAGGTAGGCAAAGAACCAGGGGTCGCCTGATCTAGGTTTTAGTAAGGTCTCCAACCTAAAGGCACAAGGAAAAAATTAAAAAAAAATCCTTTAAAACAGTGAGCGAGCTAAGATTAAAAGAGGAAGCTGTCAAATTCATAAGAAATATAATCTGCAAGGTACAAAACATGAGAAACTAATTCTGCACCTCTCTAAGGGGTGTACAATATTCATTATATATTTCCACTAAGGACTGACGTATAACAACGCTGGGCATTATCTTCCTGACACAAATCACAACTTCCTAAGCCACGCAGAATAACTGTGCAATCCTTAATGATGAAAGGTAGAGAAATCAATCCAATAAGGCACATTAGAATATTAGTTTCTGTAGTTACTGCAGTTTGTCTAGTAACTGTAGTTTGTGTTAATATTGTGGTTTGTGTAGTTGCTATGGTTTGTGTAGTCACTGTAGCTTGTGTGGTCAGTGTAGTCTGTGTAGAGACGACACAAATTACAGCAACCACAACAACTACACAAACCACGGTATCGACACAACCTAAGCTAACTGCAAGAAACCACAGAAGCTACACAAAGTACAGTTAAAAAAGAGAAACTTCACTAACAAGGCATACTTCAGTAACTTAAACTACAATAACTACACAAACTACGTTAACTGCAAAAACTACAGTGACTACAGAAACTAAAGTAACTACACAAACTACAGTAACTACACAAACTACAGTAACTACATAAACTACAGTAACTACACAAACTACAGTAACTACACAAAATAAAGGTACTACATAAACTACAGTAACTACATAAACTACAGAAACTACACAAACTAAAGTAACTATACAAACTACAGTAACTACACAAACTACAGTAACTACATAAACTAAAGTTACTACACAAACTACAGTAACTACACAAACTACAGTAACTACATAAACTACAGTGACTACACAAACTACAGTAACTACATAAACTACAGTAACTACATAAACTACAGTGACTACACAAACTACAGTAACTACATAAACTACAGTAACTACACAAACTACAGTAACTACACAAACTAAAGGTACTACATAAACTACAGTAACTACATAAACTACACAAACTACACAAACTAAAGTAACTATACAAACTACAGTAACTACATAAACTACAGTGACTACAGAAACTACAGTAACTACATAAACTACAGTAACTACATAAACTAAAGTTACTACACAAACTACAGTAACTACATAAACTAAAGTAACTACACAAACTACAGTAACTACACAAACTACAACAACAGCAAAAACCACAGTAACTACTCAAACAACAGTAGTTGCACAAATTACAGTAAATACACAAACTACAGTAACAACACAAACTACAACGGTAAATACACAAACTACAGTAACAACAAACTCCAGTAACTACAAAAACTACAGCAACCACACAAACTACAGCAACCACACAAACTACAGTAACTACACAAACTACAGCAACTACGCAAACTACAGTAACTACACAAACTACAGCAACACACAAACTACGGTAACTACACAAACTATAGCAACCACAGAAACTACAGTAACTGCACAAACTACAGTAACGACACAAACTACAGTAACTACATAAACTACGGTAACTACACAAACAACAGTACCTACACAAACTGTATAAATAACTGCAATTAATTGAGTTACTGGAACCACGCAGCTACACTGAACATGCAAAAAAACAGGATACACAAATAGCTAAAATACTATACAGTCAGCCCAAACTACGACAGATAAAACTTAGTAAGGCGAACGTAGGAAATGCTCAAGTCTTATTTACAGCAGAAATTACTAACTACAATGACTTCTGAATTCTTTTTAACGGCTAAAAGACCGGCAGTAGTTTGTGCTCACTTAGTGCAGTGCAATTATGCAATACAAACTGCGTCGTGAGGCCTAAACTAATCCGTCTACTAAGTCTACACAGCGCGTCAATTTGGAGTACTACTCTGACCAGCGAAATAATCTTTTAATTTTTCTGACAAACAATTTCTAACAAACCATTTTAAACTTTTGGAGAGAAAAATCGAAGAAAATTAGCCGAAGTGTCTTTTTATCGCTCGCGCGGTAGGATTTGAATTCTTGGTAACTCAAGGTAAGATAATTTTTTTGAGGATTTTTCTTTGTATATTCGTGGAAGAACGACTTGCCTTTTTCCAACCTATCTCTCAAAAACTTTAAAATAAATGAGTCGTGCGATAGACTTACTTTTTTTCCAAGGCCTGAAGTCGTTGATGAACACTATTCAAGCTTGGAGCTGCATCGTGTTATTATCGCTGGACCTTTTCTGACGTTCAGGCAGGATTTCTGTCGCCGAAGCATCTTGAAATCCGCTTTTTTCAGTCGTTTCTTCTGCCAAGACGACTTCACGCAAGGTGAAACAAATCGCAAACACGATCGCGGAATACAAGGCTGCCCGAGGTGCAATTAATGACATCGTGGTTTAGGTACGTAAATTTTTCAGTGAGTTATTTGAAAAAATTCGTTTCGGTGTGAGAAAAAGTTTAACCCGTTTTTCTTCACACGAAAACTGTGAGCTGTAAATCTTCCATGTGAGGATATTCAAGCATTATTCAAACAAGTATACATGAGTCAGGGGCGAGAACTTTTTGGCCTTTCTTACTACATTACAATTACAATAAGGTGACCAGAATCTGTCCAAAATGTAATTTTGGAAGGGTGCATGACAAGTTTATTTATCGTATGAATTGTAGAACGTGCAAGGAGAGCTCTTAAAGATTTATCAAAACACTTTTATAGATCGGAACGAACTTCCCTCGTTCAAGAGCAGTTGAGCGTGAAACTAAATCTTTATAGCATTTGCTATGCACGAAAAGTCTGGGGAAACGCTTACCTTGGTACTTGTTACGGGCTTACCTAAAGTGCNTGGAAGAACGACTTGCCTTTTTCCAACCTATCTCTCAAAAACTTTAAAATAAATGAGTCGTGCGATAGACTTACTTTTTTTCCAAGGCCTGAAGTCGTTGATGAACACTATTCAAGCTTGGAGCTGCATCGTGTTATTATCGCTGGACCTTTTCTGACGTTCAGGCAGGATTTCTGTCGCCGAAGCATCTTGAAATCCGCTTTTTTCAGTCGTTTCTTCTGCCAAGACGACTTCACGCAAGGTGAAACAAATCGAAAACACGATCAAGGAATACAAGGCGGCCCGAGGTGCAGTTAATGACATCGGGGTTTAGATACGTAAATTTTTCAGTGGGTTATTTGAAAAAATTCGTTTCGGTGTGAGAAGAAGTTTAATCTCTTTTTCTTCACAAGAAAACTGTGAGCTGTAAATCTTCCATGTGATGATATTAAAGCATTATTCCAACAAGCATTCATGAGTCAGGGGCGAGAACTTTTTAGCATTTCCTACTACATTACAATTACAATAAGGTGACCAGAATCTGTCCAAAATGTAATTTTGGAAGGGTGCATGACAAGTTTATTTATCGTATGAATTGTAGAACGTGCAAGGAGAGCTCTTAAAGATTTATCAAAACACTTTTATAGATCGGAACGAACTTCCCTCGTTCAAGAGCAGTTGAGCGTGAAACTAAATCTTTATAGCATTTGCTATGCACGAAAAGTCTGGGGAAACGCTTACCTTGGTACTTGTTACGGGCTTACCTAAAGTGCAGTTACATCGGATATGTAAATATTTACTTTTTTCAAACTTTGAGATCCTTTTACAATCCAATATAAACATATTCACCGACTGCGTGACAAATTTTTGTAACTTTAGCCGCCTGGGTACAGCATCCATACCGTTTTCCAAGTTTTACTTGTGAATTGTTTTTATTCCTTCTAGGAACAATAAAAACCCACTGACTTAGGAGGAAGTTTGAGTGAAACAATTTCGGGTTCCTCGAAACACAACAAAAAGTGAGGGTCACCTTAACGCATTTGAGTTATGGAGATATAGAGTTAAATTCCATGGCGCTTTTTAAGAGAATGTGTTGTCACCATGATAACTTGTAGTGCCAGAGGAGAGACTCTCGAACTGATTAGTGTTGGTTGGGAATCTTATGATATTAATGAATAAAGAGGTCGAGGCTGTTATAGTCCGTCAAGTGATAGATTCAAAATACAAGGAGAGTGTTTTGATCCTCTCTAACTTCGCGTTACTTGTATTCAAACAGCTTTGTATGTCCGCGTCACTTCTCATTCAAGAATATGTCAGCGTTTTGCAAGAGAAACTTGTTTAATGTTATGAACACGTCAGATCACCAACATGAGGCATGTCAGTATTCCAACCTGCATTTCTAGAACAAAGTTTCTATCGAACTACTTTCCTGGACTCCTGAAACTTCAAATTAACGGGACTCCATCAAAGATATATCATACCAAGTTATATCAGGTCATGTTTAATAAAAGGTTGCTTCAAAGCACCAACGTTTCGATGAATATTAAAATTTCAAATTCAACTAAATTAGTATCTCGAAATTAAAAGTGTCCGAATTTCAAATAACCACAAACTGCAACTGGCAAGAATTAAAAAAGGGGGGAGGGGTGTAATTTGGATTAATGATTGTAAGACAAGAACGTCGATCAAATCAAACTGTCTTTTCCTTTGAGTCCTGTACATCCAGTAACGCGAAACATTATTAAATTGTTACTTCGTCCTACTCTTTTATTTCTATTATTCGGCCCCTTTAATTTTTACGCGTTTTGCAGGTGTTTGGAGGCAAGCGCGAGACGAGAGCGAATAGCGGGAGAGCTTTTCTTCTCGCACTCTCGTCCGTACTTCTAACTACGCCATGTATTTTACGTATATTCTAGCGACAGGGTTAAATCTTAGTAATACTTCTATTAAGAGATCTTTCCTCGGCCCTTTGTTCGAAAATATCGAGCCGAGTGCCGATTGCAGTTCTGATTCATAGCATTGCTGGCCATATCATTACAATTCGTTCTGCTTGTCGTGATAAGCTATGAAGCACTGAATTGTCAACTTCGGTAGGAAACACTTTACAGTAAAATTCGATCTTGGTCGTTCTCCCTTCAGTCCAACTCTCATGACTCCGTGGGTGACTACGACTAGATCTAGAGGTTTCGAAGTGCTTGCCTTCTCTTGAAATGTCTCAGTTGTAAAGAAAATAAAGGAAGATTTAAGTACGTGTATTTAACATACAGCCTACAAATTGAATTTTCGTTTCAAGCCAAGCCAGGAGCAGGTGAAACACAGAATTAATATCGGGAGATATTTTACCTTATCTCTTCAATTGCTCAAACAACTTCCCAAGGGGGAAATAAACGGGGAAGAAAAGGGAAAATTCGATGCTCTTTAATGCGATAGGGAAAGTTTAAATCTGGGTCCGAAGGAAAAAAATCTGAAAAAATAAAATTAGAAATTTAGTTTCAAGTCAAAACACACTGGGTGTGCTGTGTGGACTATGAGACTTTGCCTCCTACGGATTCGGAAAACATTCCCTTACGGATTTGGAAAACATTTTGAAGATAAGCTATTGCTGTTGGGTGTAACTGAAGTTTAGCTCGTGTGCCTGCACAAAAAAATGGGGATTGCTGAGTTAAACTATTTTAAGCATCGAGCCGATCGTTAGATTCGTGTTTAACGCCCGAAAAACGTGAGCCTCGTTTATTAGTTCCAAAGGAATGTTCTTTGCAATAGTAAGCGTACACACCTGATTTTGAATAATCTCATGAAAAATAACTGACCTGGATATTCTCGGTAAAGTGATTCGGGCTAGAGACACCAGAATTTTCATAAATAAAAGATATGCTTGACTTCTTCTATAGAATGTTCCATATAAACATATCCTTGAACTGTTCCCTGTCGTCGTAGGTCGAAATTGTTTTCTTTTTGATCACTTCGGTTCACAGTCAAACTCACACCAAAAGTGCATGAATACAAATCATAGAGAACCTACTTTAGTGATATTCGTGTTTCACGAGTTTGTTACTGCTTCTTTGGGATGAAGCAGACCGATTTCCTTCAGGTTTTGGGTTCACCACAGCCCTCGAGAGGCTGCTCTTGTGGGTCGGTTCGATTATATACCGCCCTGAAGGAAAACCTTTTGCTCAAGCTTTGTTATTCGATTGTTCACATTTCAAAAAATAAATACGATTCCAAGCAGATATCCTACGATGCAGAAGAAGAACAGAGATATCAAGGTGAAACGAGTAACGCACTCATCAGACCGCTCTCCCGCTATATCCCTAAGTGACCTATAGGAATTGTTTTGACCAGTGCATGACTGTTTTGATTTGTAAAGATATGCAAAATAACAGCTTAGTTAAGTAAATATCGCGTCACCTTTTGTATTCAGTATTTACATTGTGTATACATCTCAGCTAGCTTTTATTTGTGTGCGGACCATTTTTTAAGAGTGGACTATGGAGACGGTATACGTATTGGCTTGTAATTCGTATGAGGAACTGATATTTCAGTGAAAAATGTTACACTAACTCGTAGAATACTGGATGATTTTTTAAAGAATAAATGTAATATCATGATTCTAAAATCAAATTTATTATTATCCCAAAGAAGACGATGTAAACAGTGTACAAATGTTGAAGACAGTCAATAAATGGAAGTTTTTCAGTAGTGCGAGTTTCAAGTTGCAGCCTTGAGATCAAAATTACTAAATTTTGGCTGAAGGTTACCAATTCATAGAGAATAGAGAAATGATCGTAGTCTGACGAAAAACGAACCTTAAGCAAGGACGTCTGATGAGAAGACAGTTTGCATGGGAAGGAAATAGATACAAAATAACAACAGCTGGTAGATATAGAAAATGTTTTTTTTCGTTTTGTCACGAGCGTGGGACAAAAAAAATTCTGAGCCCCCATGAGGAATCAAACTGGTAAATACTCGCTCTGTTTGGACTTTAAGGCCATCAGCATTTATGTTTTAGTTACCCACTCTAGTCAGTCTACTAAATTTGAAAGAAGGGGTCAGGGTTGTGGACTGCGTAGTTGGTGCAACAATTCAGTTAAACAAAGAATAAGAGTGACCGCGCTTGTCACTAACTTTCGAAGTCAGCAGAGCCTGGGTAATATCTGAGAGGAAAAACTTAAACGAATTTGACAATCAAACACAGAAGGAAACTGTAAAAAAAAAAAAATAGATTCAATTCAAATTTGTGGAAACTAAAACGCTTCCCTCATGACATTGTAACACAACAGGCACATACTCAAACCTAACATTAAATTAATAAAGTTGGTAAGTTTCTAAAGAAACTGGGTTGCTGCGTCGGTGGGGGCAACAAGGTACTTTGGTTACATCAACCAAGTTGAAATTGTAAATTGGTCACCGTAAAGAGTTAAAAAGCTGACGTTTCGAGCGTTAGCCCTTCGTCAGTGCGAAGGGCTCTGACAAAAGGCTCTGACGAAGGGCTAATGCTCAAAACGTCAGCTTATTAACTCTTTACGGTGGCCAATTTGCAATTTCAACTTAGTTGATATAACCAAATAACATTGAATTACACCACTTAGCGGTGTTTTCGCTCCATCTCTCCTGGTTGTATTAGCATCAAAATACTTATGCCGGCAGGTTCAGCTGAATAGTCAATATTTACCATCACTTTATCGGTACGGATCAGGCAATGGGTAACGACTCTGGATCTTCTCAGTAACTTTACTGGATCTTCTCAGTTCAATTTACCTTAAATCTCAGGAGGTGAGATGGGAGGAACATGGCTTAAGATGATTTGTTGATTCAACAACACTCGTTCTTGGGTGCATTTTATACACCACTACGATTCGATGATTCTCAGTTTCCAGCGCTTCCACCTATCCCTAGAGAGAGTATGTCAAGTACACGAATTAATATTGTAAACATCACGAATTGGTGATCTTAATATCGCGAAGCATCTTTCCGGGGCAGCGCTCCTTCAGCCGGCCTTGGTAATTAGTTGTTCGTAATTTAAATTACGAAGGCGCTCCTCTCCGAGTTCGCGCTTGTTTCCGTACGTATTCCCGGTATAGCGATTCGGGCTAGAGATCTCACAGTTTATACTAACATGAAAACTCCGTTTAACTCGTCATACACCGAAATAATTTGCTTTTCGATTGCGTTGGTACACACATCAAAATCACAAGAAAAATTTATAAAAACAAATCTTGGAAAATCTATCTAAGCCATAATTGTATTTCACGAATCTATCTCCGATTCCCTACGATGTAGACCGCTTTCCTTACACAAGAGAGAACCGTACCCCTCGAAAACCTGCTTCAGTAGGTTTGTGCTCAATTAATCAATGCCCTTAGAAACCTTTTGCACGAGTTTTTATGAGAGAATTATGCAGAGACCTAGCATTAAATTGTACTAGTTAGAGTCGTTTTTCGTTCTTTCTTGCTTGGTTGCTTAAATATTTATGCCTGTAATCTCAGAAGGATAATCGACATTTATCATCATTTTTATCAGTAGAAATCAGGCAATCGGTAATGACGCTGGGCCCCGTTTCTCGAAACTCGGTAAATTAACGGGCCTGAAGCCATGCGTTAAGCACCCAAATCTTTTGTTTATTCAGCTGATAGTTTTATTGTATCATTTTCAAAACTTTTGACATGCCCATCTTGAATGAAAACAGAACAGCTTTACGGGCCAGTTAAGTTACCGGGACTTTCAAGAAACGGGTCCCTGGATCGTTGAGTTGGAGACAAATCAGAGGTACTTAGAGGAATATTACCAACAAACAAAGGATGCATCCAAGCCATGATGTAACGTTACTTCTTGAATTTTCACCGTTGCTTTATTTACCCTTTATTCATAAAACCAGCACCAACACCATTTTCTTTGAAAAAGTAATCACTACAGTCTATGAAATCAATGTCGCCAAACTTTAGTGGTGTACCCTTGTGAACAAAAAGAATCTTTTCTCGTGTTACTTGGTGCATACAGCGCAGGTGAACTCTCTACCAGCGACATATGGATGACACGGAAGTGAGCCACAAACACCTTCAACAGGGTACAGTAATGCACCATTTTTGTTTGCCCTGGTACCTGGGCGGGCCTCCGCGTCCTCGTCGACACATATGAAGTCGTACTGCTTCGTATGGTTGTCGTATGCAGTCATCAAGTACCCTTGATACTCCTCAGTCCAGCCGGATGGACATTCATTCCTTGCAGGCATCATAAGCATAGTGCCTCGTGNTTTAACAAACTATCGTAACTGAAATACTATAGAATCGGTGCACAATACAGCAACTAAAACTTAGTAACGAAAATGTAGGAATTGCTAGGGTTGCATTGACAGCACAAGTTACATTGATTGCACAAACTACAATGACTGCTGATTACTTCAGCGGTTAAAATAAAATTCCTCTGTGATTGCTCAAAGCACTGCGATCGTGCAATACAGAAATCACACAAACAGTAATAGATACCGAAACTAATCTGTGTACAGAGTCTCACAACTTTACCAATTTATCGCACCACTGCACTAATTACAAACTTAAAAATTAAAACAATTACACGACGTGTTAATTTGGTAAACTACGCCTGCGAAATAATCTTTTAATTCTTCTATTTCTATATTGTCTCCAGACAAATACACAAAAAATTTAAAATTTTTAGAAAGCAAAATATACGAAAAGTGGTCATTTTGTCTTTTCTTCAATCGCGCATTATGATCTGAATTCTAGCTAATTCGAGGGTAAGATAACATCTTTCGGTCTTTTCCTTTGTAGATCTGTGAAAGAGCTACTTGCCTTTTTCGGACTTATCTCTAAAAAATTAATTAAAGTTTGTATGCTGGTCTTTGATCAATCAAAATTGAGTTCATCTTAACTATAGAATTACTAAATCGAGAGACAGACTTACTTTTTCTCCAAAGCTTGCAGTCGTTGGTGAACATTATTCAAGTTTGGGGCTCCATTCGTATTATTTTCGCTGGACCTTTCCCGACGTTCAGGCACGATTTCTGCCGCCGGAGCATCTTCAAGTCCGCTATTTTCTGCCGCTTTATCTGTGGCGACAATTTCACAGAAGGTGAAACACATCGCACACGCAATCATGGAATACATGGTGGCCCGAGGTGCGGTAAAAAACATGGTGGTTTAGATATGTTTGAATATTTCAGTGAGTTCTCGAGAAAATTCGTTTCCCTTGCGAGCGGATGCCAACTCGTTCTTTGAGCTCTGAAATCTTCAATATGAAAAAATAAAGCTTTATTCAAACGACTTCCTGCGTAAGAGGCGAGAACATTTTCGCGTTTGCCACCACATTAGAATTACAATAGTATGACAATAATTGTCGTAAATAGATTGTTAGGGTGTCAAGTTTTTTGTTGACTCAAACTGAATAAAAAGTGAGAGGTTTTGTAAAATAACAAACATATGTGTGAACTGCGGTTATGAGACGTATATGAGCACGATCCTTCGCAGTAAAGCACTATTTGAGCAATAGTGAAAATCAGACCTGAAAAAAATTTCAGGCCTGTACGGGATTCGAACCACTGACCTCTGCGATACTAGTGCAGCGCTCTTACCAATTGAGCTAACAAGCCAACTGGGAGCAGGCCATCAAATTAATTCGACATAAACCCGTAGATGATAAATCAAACAACAACAAACATATGAAACATATGTGTGAACTGCGGTTATGAGACGTATATGAGCACGATCCTTCGCAGTAAAGCACTATTTGAGCAATAGTGAAAATCAGACCTGAAAAAAATTTCAGGCCTGTACGGGATTCGAACCACTGACCTCTGCGATACTAGTGCAGCGCTCTTACCAATTGAGCTAACAAGCCAACTGGGAGCAGGCCATCAAATTAATTCGACATAAACCCGTAGATGATAAATCAAACAACAACAAACATATGAAACATATGTGTGAACTGCGGTTATGAGACGTATATGAGCACGATCCTTCGCAGTAAAGCACTATTTGAGCAATAGTGAAAATCAGACCTGAAAAAAATTTCAGGCCTGTACGGGATTCGAACCACTGACCTCTGCGATACTAGTGCAGCGCTCTACCAATTGAGCTAACAAGCCAACTGGGAGCAGGCCATCAAATTAATTCGACATAAACCCGTAGATGATAAATCAAACAACAACAAACATATGAAACATATGTGTGAACTGCGGTTATGAGACGTATATGAGCACGATCCTTCGCAGTAAAGCACTATTTGAGCAATAGTGAAAATCAGACCTGAAAAAAATTTCAGGCCTGTACGGGATTCGAACCACTGACCTCTGCGATACTAGTGCAGCGCTCTTACCAATTGAGCTAACAAGCCAACTG